TATTACTATTATTTCCCCCTGTTATTGCTGTTGCTGCTGTTTGTCCTTCCGTACCTGGAGGGGTAAAGGAGGAAGGCTGGGCAGGAGCGGGAGAGATGGGCAGGGCGGCCTCTGGAAGAAGGACGTGGATTAGACTCCTTGTCTCGTGGTCACTGGCTTGTGACATTCCCCGGGTCCTCCGAGAAGGGAGGAGGGGCTCCAGTCAAGCTGGAGGGGTGCGGCCCACCCAGCGACTGGTGTTTTCCTCATATTTCTCACCCCACTTCCTCCAAGAAGATAAAGAAAGGTAGTAATTGGCCACTTTCTACAAGTGTCTGAGCAGATTCTTAATGAACCCTGCGGGCAGGGAGGTGTCAAGGAGCATTCTAGCCTGGTCGGAAAGATTAGAGACGCTTTTTCAGGTGCTAAAGATTCTCTGGGTGAGGAAGTATTTATAAATATGAAATTCGACATGTCTAATTCATCACGAAGGCTAGAATATACGAGGCTTTAAAAACACAAGCTTCTAGGAAAACAACTAGAGAGTTTGCAGGTGAGGACATTTTTTACTTTCTGATTTGGGAGGGTTCTTTTCCTCCCGTCCCCTTAGCCTTTGCTGCTTGAGCGAAGGAATTACTTCTCGGGGTCTTGAATCGTTGCAGGTGGGACTTGGGCAGGCCAGGCCTTCTGGCGTAAGAGCTCCACCTCGGCCACCTGATGGGAGGGCCTTGAATCCCTACTTGCCTCCTGCAGGAAGAATTCGGCCCACCTGCCTGGGCAGATGGGCGTGGCCTGCCTCAGAGCAGGTGTCCAGGAAAGCCCCCTTGCCTCCTGCTAGCTCTGGAGGGGACTTGAGACAGGAAGGAAACTGCGACCTTCCTAGCCCCTTGGGGACTGACTGCTTCTCTGCGCTGCAGCCTGCAGCTCTCAGGGTCCACTTCACTCTGCTCCTCCAGTCTGGGGCGGGGGAGGCCCCAGCTCTCCAGCTCCGATGCTAGCGGCTCACTGAGACAGCGTGCTACTTAGGGACATGTCTGCCTTCAGAATCGGGAACAGTACCCGCTGCCCCGCCACACACACACACTAACACTCGGGGCTGCGAAGTCACTGGCGTGAGGAAAGTGGCGTCGCGTCCCCTCTTGGCGATGCGAGTAGCTGGCTGAACCTTGCACCTTTCCTGCGTCGGGCAAAAGTTCCACCTTGACTGCCTCCCTCGCTCAGGCGGTCTCTGGTCTGGCTGGATCTCTTGTCACCACCCGTACCTTGGTCAGTGACGTCTTCGCCCTCTTCCTCTCTCACGTACAGCGCAACCGCCGCAGCTGGCAGCGTCACCTCCCACCAACTCGTCCAACTTCTGCCAAGGCTCTGAGATGCCAACGATGTCGAGGCCTGCACCTGATGTCAAGGGTGGCTCCTCACCTATGAAGGAGGTAACTTTCGACGTCTTCCAGTTGGAGTCACTGACGCACGGTGTGGGGTCTTGCGGCCGGCCTTCCTAGGTGTGGTGTCTGCTGTTCCTTAGCACAGAGGAGACGACAGGGCTTCCTCTGGGGACAGTGAGCATAGCTCCTGCCTAAAACAAGGGCGTAGCGAACCCACTTGGCTTGTTGAAGGACAGCAGGGAGCAGAGGAGTAAATCACGCTGTCCGAAGGGTTCGTGTGGGGTGGGAGGAGGGACCGTGAGATCGCGCCTTATTAGAAAGCTCAGGTGGCGGGACGGAAATACAAGCAGCAAAGCCACTTGGGATGGCAGGTGCCCAGCACAAGGACTCAGCTCTGAGCTCAGCGCTCGGAGCCCTGGACGCAAAACGGTGCTCGGGCTGGGAGCCGAACTGCCCAGGGGACCTTCTTGCTGCTTCCCCCCGCCCAGCCTCAGGAGCGTGCTGGGCCGGGAGCTATGCTGTGCCTCCCTGTCTTCTAGGATGCCACCGAGGAGATGAACTCTCTGGCCTACTCGAACCTGGGCGTGAAGGATCGCAAAGCAGTAGCCACTCTGCACTACCCCGGGGCTGCCTCGAACGGCACCAAGGCTGATGGGGCTGCCAGCAGTCCCTCGGGACCTTCATCTCCTACGAGCACCTCTCCCACTAAACCCCCACCCCTAAACCTGAACCCCGCCCCTCACCTGCTGGCTAGTATGCAGCTGCAGAAACTTAACAACCAGTATCATGGGGCGGCCGCCGCCACTCCAGGCCAACCCGTCCAAGCCGCGGAGGCAGGGCCCCTTCAAAACTGGGGCTTAGGGGCTCAGGCGGGAGGGGCGGGGTCGGTCTCTCCCCCTGCCGGTGCCCAGAGCCCTGCTATCATCGATTCGGACCCGGTGGATGAGGAGGTGCTGATGTCGCTGGTGGTGGAGCTGGGACTGGACCGGGCCAACGAGCTTCCGGAGCTGTGGCTAGGGCAGAATGAGTTTGACTTCACCGCAGACTTTCCGTCTGGCTGCTGATGCCAACTGTCCCTAAAGATGGAGGAATAAAGCCACCGATTCTGTTGTAAATAAAAATAAAAGCTACTTACAGAGACATGTGCCGTCCGGAGGTGTTCTTCACTCGTCTGACACCCTCTTAGCAGGCCCGCAGTGGGGCCGTGGGTGGGCACTGCGAGGGAGCTGGGCGTGGTGGGTGGGATGGGGAGGGCTGCGGAGGGCTACGGGCACTGCGTGCCAAATTCCTGCCGCCACCTCCGCCGCCACAGCAGTTGTCTCTTGAGCCCGAGGACCTAGCCTCGTCGCCTCTAGAACGCGGGAATGCTGTCCTGTTCCATAGTGGGATGATACAGAGGCTGGTGGTGGGGAGGGGGTGCGTTCTCAGAAGAAAGACATCCAGATTCTGCCTCGGTCTCCAAGTCTAAACAGTCACCCACCCTCTCTCTAGCCCCCCAGTCCAACTGACCATTAAGGCCACCCCTTTGCGCTCTTGCCTCTGAACGACAGAACTAAGAAGGATCTTATGGCTTGGGAGCTCAGGTTTCTATGGAAAATTACAAAACCTACAGACTCCCACCATTAAACTGCGATTCTGGTGCCTTCAAGTCACTCAGTCGTTCAATCCCTCCCTCCAAGCCTGGGACACTCCGGGCTGGTCTGAGTGTCCCCTGACTGGCCCCCTGGCCCACCCTGGATGGAGACATGCTGTTTCTTTGGGCTATCCTCTGCATCTTAACAAACACAGGTCAGGGCCGGGCTTGACAAGTTTGATGGGGACATAGTGATTAGATTAACTGCTGAGGAGGCAGTGGCTTCAGAAGCATGCCAAGTGGCAAGACAGTAGCCTTATAACTATCATGGCCTTGGGGACCCGATCTAGCCCCGTCGTCATGCTTATACAACCCAAGGGTCTCTACCCACACTTCACACCCCTTGGCCATAGTGAAAATGGCTTGAATCTGCTGCTCAGGACTCGCGTGGGGCCTGTCCCACAGCAAGCGTCTCCGAGGGAGCCTGCAGGCAGAGGTCACGCACTGGCCTTGGCACTCCCTGAGAACCTGCTCGGGGCCGGGCAGTCTGCTGGGCATGGGGGTGTGAATTAGACACACTCTGTACCTTGAGGGGTTGCTCATCTAGAAAGAGAAAGACAGGCACCAGCAAATGCCACAGTATCGCCCATAAGACGTGGGGATGGTACTACATGACCCCAGAAAAGGAAGCAGCTCCATTGGCCCCGGGGGAGTCTGGGGATGACTTCCTGGTACTGAACTGGTTCATCTGTTTGTTTTTATATCTCACGGTAGTAAGTACATGATGCAACCTCATTGTGAAAAGTAGAAACTTTACAGATAAGGTTAAACCTTTTGACCAAGTCTCCCCCTCAATCTTGATCACCTTTGACCCTGCACAGACGTAGCAACTGCTTATCTATTTGTGGTATATCCTCGCCGGCCTTGCCCTGTGCCTTTACACAAAGATATCTACCCACAGAAACAATAAGGGTTTAAAATAAGACTACAGGCAGCCAAGGAGCAACGAGTGAGGGGGAAAGCTGTGAGGCAGGCCGGGGGCGCGGAGGCGGCCGCGGTGTAGACGGTTCTGTTTGAGGCCCGGAGAGAAGCACACCTTTCTCCCTACTGTCGCCGGCCCCGTAGCTTGTGGGGAACCTCTGGAAGTCTGTAGGATAGCGAAGAATTAAGCAAGTTTGATTTTTAGAATGATCCCGCTGAAGGTGCACAGTTAGATTCATCTAAGGCTGCAAACAGGGAGACGTGGGTTTCCGAAGGGCTGGTGACGCAGCGGTGGAAAAATGAAGAGGAAGGAATGGAAGCCTGGGAGCCGGAGGGGAGGACAGGGTGGCGGAGGCCTCGGGTGTGTGTGCCGGGCAGGCCAGGGCAGGACCCGGGGAGGGGAGGGGGGAAGCTGCGGCCACCAGGTGGGTTTCCGAATCTGGACAGTCCGGCGACACAGGGCGAGCACTAAAGCAGAGTGGCGGGACGCGCAGGGGGCCTAGACCCCAAAAGGCTGGAGGGTTCCGGGGTCGCGCCCCTACTGGGGCCTCCACGAAACATGATTCTGGCCACGTGAAACAGTGGAGCAGGCCCCGACCTCTGGAGCCCCAGGGCGCAAGCCGCCTTCGGAATGTGGAGAAGCCCAAGCCAAGGGTCAGCTCCTCTGATGCGGGAGGGGCGGCCTGGGAATCATGGAGGTGACAGGGGTGCAGCTGGGAAGCAGATGGTGGCGATGAATGGCCTGGGCATCCCCAGAGAAGACGGTTCTGAATGAGGAGGGAGGGCAGAAACTTGCGCATGGCAATCCTGCCTCCTGGTGCGGGGGCCAGAAGTGTGGCCACCTGAGCAGCCTCGAGTCCAGAAGGAGAGACGGGGAGAGAGGGAGAGAGAGAGAGAGAAGCAGGGATAGGCCGGGCTGTGCCCAGCTGAGGAGTGGGAGGGCATGGGGGCACTGACCATTGATTGCTGGAGAAGGCCCAGCGGGGCGGGCATGTCGCAGGGCACAGCCGGGAAAGACAGGGAAGATGCCTGAAGCCGACTCCAAGCCTTACCCCGAGAGCTAGGAAGCAAGGGTCCCAGGTGCACGCCTGGTAAAAGACGCAGCCTGGGAGTGGGTGTCCATGTGTGACCAAGAGCGCCTCCTAGAGACCAGGCACTGTGCTGCTCCCTGGGGACCAGTTAGGCGCCCCTGTGGCTGCTCTCCAGGGACTCCCAGTCCAGTGGTGGAGTCAGCCATAGTCATGAGGGATAAATTGGATTTCCATAAGGCAATGATGCTGGCGGGGAGCGGACAGAGGGGACCGCATGGCCTTCAGCACAGGCCGCAACTGGAGCACAAATAAAAACATCAAATCTGGGCATGGTGTAAACCAGAAACGAGCGATACCATAAAAAAAGGCCCACGGCCTTTTCAGGGAAGGGTGGAAAAGCCAGCAGCTTGATTTCCCTGAAGGGCAGAGAGATTTAAGATACAATCAGATCTCTACTTTATCCCGCGCAAGGGGAACCTATCATCCCACAAACACGGACCGAGCACCTACGATGTACCAGCCTCACGCTAAGCGCTGCGAACATGTGGCGAGCACGTTGCCCTTTAAGAAGTTTAGCAAGGAGAGAGCCAACAGGGAAGTAATCACACAGATAATTACAATTAGCAATCATGGGACATGAAGGGAAGAAAAGCTACAGGTGCTGTGAGATTGCGTAATGGGGACTTAATGTCAATCATAGTACATGGGGGGTGGGGCTTCTGACGGTTTTGAACGGTGGGGTTGTGGTCAGACCTTGCATGAGGAAAATGAATCAGGCTACAGTGCGCATGGCAGATTGAAATGATGGTGGCGCTAGAAAGGTGTCACAGCGGTCCAGGCCAGAAGTAATAAACACAGGACATCAGTCTATGATGAAAAGGTAGCATTTCAACGGGGAGTTGTTCACTGAGTACGGGGTTTGCAAGTTAAGGTCTAGAGATGTGTTGAACAACGGTGTAAATAACTTAACACTACGGAATTGTACACTTAAAATAGTTCACGTGGTACATTTCGTGTTATCTGTTTTTTAACCACAATTTTTATAAAATACCATTTCAAAGTAGGTAATGATGGACTATTCAATAAGTGCTTTGGGATGACTGGATACGTTATCTCACACTTTACACAAAAAATAAATTCCAGTTGGACCAAAGATTTTAAACTCAAAAATGAAACCATAAAAGTACTGGAAGAAAATACAGGGGGATTTAAAAAGAATATCTTGAAATGAGGAGGACTTGCCAAGAATGACACAAAACCCACAAGCTATGGAAGAGATCGATGTATTCGACTACATAAGAAAAAAAAAAAAAGCATGGCAAAAAATACCATAAAAAAGGCAAAGTCAAAGAAAAAACAATAATCTGGGGAAAATGTCTGCAACCCATGGTGAAAACGAAAACAGCTGTTACGAATCAACATGTCGAAGACCACCAGCCCGCCACAAAAAAAAAAATGAGCAAATAATATCAACGAATAATATAAAAACGAAACACGGAAAAATACATTCAAATGGCTTTAAAACTTATCAAAAGATGCTCGAATTCACTCATGCTAAAATAGTATTTTAAAATTATATTAGGGGTCTTCTGGTTCCAGAACGAGCTGATATAGACACAATTCCCCCCGCTCCTCTCCTTCAAATACAAATATATTCTCTAGAAATTATTCAACAGACAATGACGAAAGGACTGTGAATGCAAGAAAGGACAAGGTGGGCTGGCTAGGAACTTCGGGGCTTGAGGAATGACAAAATGGCGAGTTTCCTTGGTTTCCTTTTTATCGCCCATATACCCCTACACTGGGTACCAAAGAGGCCTGCGGCGGCGGCAGCAGCAAAGCCCCATATCTCCCCACGGTCCACCGAGTGGCATAAGGAGACCCAGACGCGGTGCCTTCAACAACCTCTGCGTTCCTCAGAAGATCCCAGCAAAAATGAGCAGCTCAGGGAAGTGCCCTCTGCCCCTGCAGACAGCACCAGCAAGGATGGAGGGGGAGCCAGAGGGACAGCAGAAGGATGACACAGACCAAAATGACACTACGATGGCTTGGGAAGTTAAACTATGATTGGAACTGCAAGCGACGGGAGACGTGAACGTACATGCTAAACCCAATCGGGGTGACTGCTGCTCAAGCAGAGGACCGAAATGGGATCGGGAGTGTCCTAGCACAACCGAAATGTCAAGGATACCACAGGAAACCACTCACTATGATGAGAGCCAGGAAAACCTCAGTTTGATGAAAAAAAGACAATCACCTGACACCAAGACCAAGCTGAACGGATGCTGGAATTACCTGACGAGGGTTTTAAAGCAGCCATCAGAAAAATGCTTCAACAAGAAATTACAAATTCACTCGAAATAAATGAAAAATTGAAAATCTCAACAAAAATATAGAAGTGAAAAAACGGCTAAATGCAAATTATGGAATGAAAAAAGCAACTGAAGTAAGTAACTCACTGGATAGAGTCAATAATACAGTGGAGATGACAGAGGACAGAATCAGAGAATTTGAAGACAGATCAATAGAATTTAGTCAATCTGAACTCGCTTGAATACCATTA